AGCTGGCGGGCCTCGATATTGATGTGCTGATGATAGATTTTTATAAAAAAATAACAAAAAGACAATCAACCATATTTCGATAGCATTCGCGAAAACGAACATTCCTACATTCCATATTTATAATTTAAACAAGTCCTAAATACCGCCGGAACGCATCTAGAGCGCCTTTAGACGGGGACTATTTTAAATTGGTTTACTTTACTGGCGAGCCAATCCGTATTAAAAGACACAAATCTGTTCGTACACGCTGCCGTTACGAGATCGCTTGTTAGGTGCAATTAGTGCGAGCGCAATATTTTGCGTTGCCTAAGAATTGATTCGTTTTGTGAGATGAAATGACCTATTAATTTAATAACGTAGGTAAATAGATAATATAGAGTACGAGCTTCGTTGTTTATATGCTGCTTCTGAGCATTTTTTTGTAATCCAGAGATGTTCTTGTGACTACTCGCATCTGTATGGATGATACGCATATCTTCTAAAACACGAGATAAAGAGGAAACCAACTTAAAGCAGAACTCAAGAACTTTGAAGACTCTAACCAGGACCTGGAATGGGAATCCTTCAATGGTCTAAGACACTAGAAGAAATTCCTCAAGACTTTTAAGACCCAGAAAAAACAAAGATTTTTCTTGATTTAGGTAAGGACAATCTTCGTATTGTCACGGGGTTTTTGTGTCCTTAATTAACAACTCAGTAGATTGGAGCTAAGAAACAACGACGAATGCAGATTCTGTGGGGAAAATGGGGAAACACCAGAACACCTCATCATTGAATGCGCCGGGACGACAACCATTCGTGCCATGAATTTTGGTACGACTGATAGTGGAGATGGAGAACTAACTTCTATAAAAGTGTCACAGATACTGGCTTCTATCAAAGCATTGAGACTGTATGATGAGGTATAGCTCAAGAAAGTAGGACATAGTAGATCTATCAGGACGCGGTGATTAACGTACCCCGCCCCTTCCATACAATCTACAAAACACTAGAAAAATCAGTATAGTCAGTATAGTACTAGTCTAGTCATATTAAACTGTGTTTAATATGACTAGATTTGGAGAATACACTACTGAATATTACTTCTATCTTCTAAGAGCATCATTTGAGATTTTTACTTTTAATAGACTAATGAATGTAAACACAGTTTCTAAGGAACTTAACTTAGCAACCTCTAGAATAGCCTATTATGCCCTTTTTGAGTCACATCTTCGTTATGCCCTTCCATTCTGTACTTGCGCAACAAAATTTGATCGTATTTTCAAACTTCAAGAGAGAGCAGTTCGATATTTATTGGGACTGAACAGTAGAACTCACTGCCAGAATTTCTTTAAAAATTTCAAAATACTGACTCTTCCTTCTTTATTCATTTTTGAATCCGTTTGCTTAATCCGGAAGCATATATCTGCTATTCCCGAAAGGCTCGAATCTCACAAGTATCCACTTAGGAATGCGGAGCACGATCTTTATCTGCCAACCCCGAACTCAGAACTAGTTAAAGGCTCAATACTGTATAATGTCAAAAACATGTACAATCATCTGCCTTTGAATATCAAGTCGCTTTCATTCTTTCCCGCATTTCGCAAAGCTCTGAAATCATACTTACTGGAGAGAGCCCTATATGCGGTAAACGACTTTTTTGTCGATGTTTAATCATGAACAATTTTGAATTTTAAAATTTTGATCATCTCACACACTGGTCAAAGGCCGAGTATTTAATATTTTATAACTCTTAAAATTATATCCATTTACAATTTTCCCATTGTAAAATTTTATTGTTACGCCTTTTTTTGTGTTCTGCAAATGTCCATGTATGTTATATTTGTAATTTTAATGACTTAATTTTTTTTGAATTGTATGATTTGTATTGTATATTTTTTATGCTTTTGTTTGTTTTGTAAATGCTTTGTCGATGAAGCTATTTTGGCTTTTTGCATAATAAAGCGTTATTTATAAACAAAATTTAGTTTAAAAATTTCTCAAAAACCATTAGATATTAGTATATTAATGTAAAAAAAGTAAATAAAATCTTATTTAATTTTTAGTTATTTTTTTTTAACTCAAACAGTATGTAGTACCTATTCTATTACTTTTGGGTAAAATTATGATTCATTCAAAACAATCTAAGAACAGGTATTTTTTTCAATACTGTTACACATCAATAATACCCTAATTTTAAATGCCAAACTATCAAGAATTACAAAATATACCTAGTGAAAGTGAAATTGTATCTCCATTTTCACTAATACTATTTATATCATACCTCGCTTACGGACGTTCTCCAAATATTTCCTTTCATTTAAACATTTGTTCGAGTTTTTTTTATCAATACCAAATGAAATATTATTACATAGTCTCTTTACAGATAGAAAAATTGCGCTTTAGTTTATTTTTAATAGACTGCTGAGAATATAGACAATAACATTTATCATTGTATGTAACAACGGCAACAGTGTAGGGTCCGCCCGCGCCACCCAGCTCAATGTCAGAAGGAAAATTCATAGGGGGTGTGAAATTGCTACGTTGCCATGCTTATTAAAAAATAATGAAAACAGTGAAAAAAATGTTGAAAATTACCCGATTATATACAACAAAAATATCAGTTATATTTTTCCCCACAAATCAATTATAATAAAATATTTTAAATATGCATTAAATTTCTTCAGTAGTCGCTAAATTTAACTTCATTGTTGCCAAACTTGATGAATCTACTGAGAAACTAAATACTCCAACCTACATGAATATTGTTTATGAATTAACTATAATAAATTACTGGAGGAATCATATTTTGAAGCATTTGTTGGTTAAACATAAGCCTTGTTTAGTTTAGTTTTATATTTAGCAATGAACCTCAGTATCCCACTTGTTACATAACATAAGATAACCTAACATCTAGGTAGGATCGCAAATTTCAACCTCAGAGACTGTTGACGTGCTGATTCTGTACAGGCTGTGGTTTTGCTCCAACTTTATGCTTTTTAAGTTTTTTTTTCAAAATCTTATTTATATTGAGTAATGTATTCACTAATATCACAGAATAGCTAATATTTTTTGTTTTAAAAGATCAATATCAGCCGTTCCATGGCAATAAATCATATTTATTAAGTCGTCTCATGAAAAATTAATTATGAAATTAATTAACCTATTTTTGAGCAGTACTGTTTTGCTATACAGTAAAGCTGAATTTTTATTATCCGATCAGAATGTATTAATGTATTAATTATATAACTTAATTATTTAATTTTTTTTTGAAAAATATTTTGGAATTTTTTTAATTTTTAGTTAAAAAATAATTTCTTTATAATATGGCAGCATAGCTGGTAGATTAAATTTACAAGAAGGAAAATTCAGAAAAGATCAAGTGGTTCTCAAAATTTAAGCAGAAAATATATTTTTTTAATTTTCAATTTTTTTTTTATTTTGGCAGTCTTACGGCAAACGCCTATAATAATTACATGGCAGTCATAGATAGTCTTCTTCGCAGTCATGGCAGTCGCTTGGCAGTAAAATGATATTTTCGCTGTACATGTACATTTTTTACCCAAGTGAGGCACCCTTCGGTTATTTTGGACTGATTTGAAAAACGGTAAAGAGAAAATATGTTTCTTTTATCGAGATCTACCAGCCCTGAAAATATTTGCACTTATTTAAGACTTACCCTGTATAATTTTCTAGACTAAGTTAGGGCTTTTAATATACCGTATGATCGAAAAAATGACGTCAAAGACGGCTGGGGAATGGCAATGGATGATAATTTCAGAGAGGTCAATCTCTACAAGTCATTTACTAAGAAATTGACATAAAATTAGTGTCAAAAAATTAACACTAATTTTAGAAAGATTTCAGACACATTTCTAAAAAAGAAATTTTTCTCGAATTTTAAATTACACCATTTAAAAATCATTTTTGATCAGCATAAAAATAAATTACAACTTTCTTAAGGACAACAACTGGCAATAAGCGTCAAACTTATCATCCATTGTTATTTCCCAGCTGTATTTGACCGTTTTTTTTTGGAACGTTTGGTATAAATACAAATCATTGTTATATTTATATTATGCAATAATGCAATAAACTTTTGAATTCAGTTGGTTAAAATAAAAAAATGACAGATTTAAATAAAAGGACTTAAATTTGTCGAATCCTGGAAAAACAATTATATGAAAAATGGCAAATTGGCACCAATGCAATGGGATCACCAAAAATATCGAAATATTTTTGGTGAGGCTATGTCGCCAATCGTTTTATTTTGCTTTATCTCTTTAAAAAAAAAGGTAAATTATGTGCAATTAACTTATTTTGATTCAAAAAATAGGTACTTGTTCTATGTCCATGGAATATTGGAACTCCCTCTATATTTTGAATGTACAAGAGGCAAAAAATGTAGTAAATACTATAGAGGGACCATTTTACCAAAAGTCGTGGTGGAGTTGGTTAGGAAAATATTTATACTGAAATTTATGTAGGGGTGGGCGTAGTTTTTACCCTTTCCGTACTTTTTCTTGATTTTTGAGAAAGTCAAATGTTAAAGCACTTAGCGAAACATAGACACCCAAAATCTCCTTCAAATTGGAACAACGGTTCTTAAAATATCTGAAAAAATGTATTTATTTGTTTAAAGCTTGATACACTCTAGCGGACAAAGGTAGCACTTTGGATTATATTTTTTTTATATCTTCATTTAAATGATTGGTTAAAATAAAAGAAAATCATTGATTTAAATTTGTAGAATTCTGGAAAAACAATTGTTAGAAAAATCTTAAATTAAGGGACCGATGGGATCACCAAAAATAATGGAAAGTTTTTTTCGGCAAGTGAAAGTCGCCAATCGTCCCGAATTGACAACAACGCCCATCGCCGAAACGACGACCGCGACCACCCCCTCTCTCCCTCCCTCCACGCCACCCCCTTTTATTCCCCTCTTTCTCTGGCGACGTCGCGTCTCTTTCTTTTTCTCGCCGCCGCCGCCGCGCGATCCGACCGACGGACGTCGCGAACATCAGTGCTGGCGGGTGCCGTGGTCATGTTAACAACGTCTCCCCTACAACAACAACAACAATCGCACCGACAACAACAACAAACCGGTGGCGGCCGCGTCCACTACCGCCAATACAACAACCTCTACCCGCCATCATCGCTGGCCGCCGTTTTTTCCACGACGCCTTTACTGTTCTACTCCGATAATTTCCGTAGTGTAGTAGTACCGAATTCTGTGATACAACAACAACGAAGAGGGTACGTGTTCGTGTCGACGACGACTACGTGCTGGGGTGGTGGGAGTACCGCGGGACAGATCCTGTGGGTTCCGGTGTTGGTGCAACAGCAGAATCAGCAGCATCAGCTGTCAAGGTCGATAGCGTGCAAGGTGCAGCGGCGGTACGAGGGCGTCGCGGCGGGTCAAGGACGGTACTGCTTCGGCGCGGCTACAACGCAAAGGCAGTACCAACAGTATCAGGGGGAGTGGGCGAGGAGGGCGGGAGGTTGTGCTGGAAGCGGGGGTGATATGGAGACGAGGTTAGAATCACTGCTTGTTTTCCTGTAATATAAATATTGTTTACCGGTACTTTTTTATGTTTTTTGTAGAAGAAATAATATAGTGTCTTTTTAATTTTCATTCAAAAACTCTTAAGATTAATATACGGTATGTTCCCCGGTCGTTTTTTCAAGAGGAAAGTAAATAACAGGTTTTTTTCTTCATAGCAGCTGTTAAAATTGCTTTATATCTATCAAAAATAAACTAACTTTAAACTAAAAAAAGTAGATAAAATAGTACTTTAACCGCAAGGGTAGATTAAATGATACTTTAACAGCGAGGATAGGTTAAAACCTTTATTTCTTCTCGCACGTTTTTAATTGCTTCCATTTTTGAAAATTTTTGTATTCCTTTTCAAAAGTTATTCGGGATTTAAATGGAAGTAGTTTGGATATGGCGTTTGCCGCCTCAACCTGAATATCTGTTGGTAATTTACCTATTTCGTTTTGAGCCATTTCTGGCTCCAATTCAATCAGCAATCGACACGAAAGAAATTAAAAATATTGACTCAAAGCTGACAACTAAAGAGACAGCTTTATTTATTTGTCAAATTACATAGAAACCAACGCCAATCCAGCACAATATTTTTTCTATTCGTAATAAATTCCTTGAAATAAAAAGTTCTGAATATTTTTTAAAACGTAACTTGCTACGGAAAAAAATATCGGGCCTGATGAATAAAGAGAAGCAATTGCTTTTTCTATAGAACTATCTTTGTTGGTTTTGTTGTTTACAAATTGTATAAGTCTATTTCAAGAAATTTAAGTAAAAGCATTTGGTTAACTTTTATTCAATTAATATTTTCGGTCGACGATAAAATATCGTCTAAAAAATAACTATTATTTCACCCCTTCTCGGGGGTGAATTGAAAAAAAATTACCAAAACTTTGTATTTGAAGGTCTATTTTCTTGGACTATATTGATTTTTTGAAGAAAATGCATTCTCCGTAAGAGTTTTTGCTGGTTTAGTTTGGTTTTTATTTTTCCCGTTTATATTCTGAATTCTTCTCTTTCTTCCCGTTTATATTGAAGAAAATAAACAAAATGCGAAAATATAGTTTCTAATAGACTTTTTTCAATCAAGTTCATTTCAATCGTTTTCATTTTTTGATAGATGATTATTATTAACTTTAATTAACATTTTATGTTTTTTGCTGTTGTCAAAGTAACACAGTTTCCATAACATTGAACTAAATTGTGTTATTCTGTAACATTTTAAAACAGAAAAAAATGTGACGTTATTAAAAATTAATGATAACCGTCTATCAAAAAATATAGACGACATTTAAAAATAATAAAAACATTCAACCCTATTTTTATCTATAAAACGGTATGGAAATTTGGAAAAGTGTAAATGGGATTAACTATTTTAGATAATCATAAAAAAAGTTTTTCCTTTTATAAAGACGATCCGGGAACATACTGAACATTAGAATTTTTTAAATTTCCAAATTGAAAAAGAAATTAAGTACCAGGTGGTCAAAATAAAACGACCACATACCTAGTAAGTAGGGATAGATGTAATATTTTAGTTCGCGCGTTACTATGTCAACATTTTTTGACAATTACAGCTTACAGCTGATCGTGTGTTATTCGAAGTCCTTGTTACACCAATAGGGGTTTAAAAAAAAGACTAGACTGGAAAATGACTCAGGATCAGCTGTCAGTGTTAAGAACTTGTGTCATAGGCATGGTGAAGGTTGAAGAGAAATTGTATTTCTACGCATTGAAATGAGTTTTATTTGATTAAACTAATCCGTATTTTTACATTGCATTTAATTTATATTTTCCAAAAGAAATCCAATAAATGCCAGATCCATTATTTTAGTGGGGTTTCGATAATTTTGGTTATATTCTTGATAATGGTCGTAAGAATAACAAAAACCTGCACTAATATCTATTAAATATTAATTAATAATTCTAAATCATGCCTGTTGAAGAACAATTCAATTAAACCAATATATTTTTTAATTGTCGGTGTAATTTTATTAAATTTTTTTGAAGTTTGGGGAATATAAATCTTGAAATTCAAAGAATATGGTATTTTTCCCAGCTTTTTTATGGTATTTTTTCCATCCAAGCTGGGAATAACCAAGAGAGACCCTAAAATATTAGAGTGGATACGACAAAAGATCCTGGTAATAGATGTCATCCACAGAGTCAAGTTCCTCAAATGGGCAGGACACCTGGCAAGAAGAACGGACAACAGATGGATCACAAAAATTACAGCATGATACCCACGAGAATTAAGAGACCTAGAAGAAGACCGAACCTGAGATAGGACCATGATATTAAAAAATTAGCAGGGTTAAGCGACGTAAGGCGATGCTAGTTGATGGACGGGTGACCGGTTCGAAACTTTGCATCGTGCTGTTGTCCAAGGGAAAAGTGTAAAATCTATTGATACACACTGCTCATTCACGCCGGTTCGAGGCCGGATGAAATCGGATATCTCGTGAGTAAGAGTTAATTTAGACACTTCCTAAGTCGGTAGGCCATTGACCATGATATGGCCGAGGACCGCGGTTCGGATTCCGCGTAAACAAAGTAGGTCCCGTCCAGTTTCGCCATTGCAGCACAAAGGAAACGTTAACTTGAACCTCACACACACACAAAATTAGCAGGGATAACTTGGGCCCACATAGCCAACAATAGACAACAATGGGCCCAACTACAAAAAGAGTACCTAAATGTGAGGGAGGCTACACCATAATTGGAAATGGTCGAATCAGCTGAAAATGATGATAGTATTATTAAATGTTGTTGAATTAAAGAATTGCTATTGTTAGTCTTACTTTGAATTGAGAAATTGAAGCAATTGCAGGAAAATGCAAAGTCGAAAAATTTTATATAAAAAATTTTTGATGTCTTTTTTTTAACTCAAATTTATTATAATTTTACATTTTGTATAATAAAATTATTACAAATATTCCAAATTTATTATTCCTCTTGTTACCAACCACCAGATATTTTCAATAGCATCAAAAAGCACGAGCTTCGTTACAGAGCCAAATTACCAAATTCATTGCTAAACATAATAAAATATCCGACATATGAAACGTACGCCTACTAATCACACGAAATAGGATAACATTTACTGCATAATATTTACCCAATAATTTAGCCGCTGTATTTATTTAAACATTGGAAATTTCATTTGAATTTCGACAAATATCGTCGAACACGGTTGAGTTTTGCAATTGCGAACTAATTTTTGAACTCGGAACGGCTGAAACTACGTAGCCCCCATTAAATAAATATCAATTATATATCCTAACGGTGATAATTAATTAATAGATCAATACGCTTCGCGATACCCCTTTAAATAAAATTGGAGAGTTAATAAATAAAATGGGAATACGGCTTTTAATCTTTTTTTTTATTTGGATGGAGTGCATATACTTTTGGCGTAACTGTTATTTTTAAAATAAAATATTGAGTACATAAAATTAATGCAGTTTTTTATTTATTATCATATATTATTTTATTAGCTACGGGGAAACCTTTCTTTTATATTATGTTTAATGACATTTGTATTGGGTCATATTCAGTAACTATCAATTCGAAGTTGGTCAAAGAATGACTATAACGTAATGTAAAGATTTCAGTTAACGTCTCCTTTTTGCTGCCAGGGCTAATCTGGACGGGGCCTACTTTGTTTACGCGGAATCCGAACCGCGGTCCTCGGCCATATCATGGTCAATGGCCTACCGACTTAGGAAGTGTCTAAATTAACTCTTACTCACGAGATATCCGATCTCATCCGGCCTAGAACCGGCGGGAATGAGCAGTGAGTGTCAATAGATTTTACACTTTAGCCTTTACTGGACAACAGCACGATACAGAGTTTCGAACCGGTCACCCGTCCATCCACTAGTATCGCCTTACATCGCTTAACTTCGGTGTTCTAATGGGAACCGGAGTTTGGACGTAGCTGGGCCGTTCCCAGAATGACTAGATATAAAATAAAACAAACTATTTTATTAATAATAGAAAACAAATTTCTTGCAGTAGAGGTATATAATAAAATTATATAAAGATTCTTGCCACTTAACTGCTAATATAGAAATTTATTTCTACGCTGTGTTTGTCATAATGCGGATCAACCTGCTCTCACTACCAGTTTCGGAGCCCTACTCCATCATCAGGTGAGCTTGGGAGATCCACAAAATGACAACCACAGCGCAGAGATAGTTAATTCTGACTTGTCGGAAAGTATCGGTTAGATATTAAGACCCGAACGGGAGATAGCGGCCTGCGTGCAATGGTAGTACTTTCGTACCACCGAGGCGCAACTATCGATAGTAAAAGGATGGTAAAAGGCTTTTTTTCAGGCAAGCCAAATTATAAAATAGAAAACAAAATTTCTTGCAGTAGAGGTATATAATAAAATTATATAAAGATTCTTGCCACTTAACTGCTAATATAGAAAATTAATTCTACGCTGTGTTTGTCATAATGCGGATCAACCTGCTCTGACTACCGGTTTCGGAGCCCTACTCCATCATCAGGTGAGCTTGGGAGATCCACAAAATGACAACCACAGCGCAGAGATAGTTAATTCCGACTTGTCGGAAAGTATCGGTTAGATATTAAGTCCCGAACGGGAGATAGCGGCCTGCGTGCAATGGTATTATTGAAACGGAATTTTTTAAACCAGTACCTTTTGACATTATTTTTCTACATTACTAAAATCCATTATTTACCTGTCGTGTGATGTCGATATTTTACAGCTACTTCAGTAGTATATGTTTAGTACGATCCTTGTAGTATATACGAGATGCACTTATCTACTACAAGATGGTATACAAACTTTATTGATGGTAACTTTATTGGTGTATAAGACTTTCTGCCTGGCCAGCGAGTATTAACTATAAACTGTGCTTCTGGGTCTACAGTTAATTTTCCCTCGATTTTTCCTCCACTTGAGTTCAAAAGACACAAAACACACGTAATAACACGAATCAAAATGCATCATCTT